ATATATTATATATACTTACAAATTATAGAATATAAAATACATAATTTTATATATCGTATTGAAGTTACTGAAAAACACTAAAAAAACTCAAGTCAAACCCCGCTGTTTACAAGTTATTAGGTGGCAATATCTTTTCCAGCACCTTCCCAAGATGCTGTAAATCTGTAGTTGGATAATGCTAAGGAGGAAACTGTTACATTGCCTTAAAGTTATTTATTAGCACTTACCCTGTACAACCCATGATTTCCGGTCCATCAAAGGAGAAGGGATCAGAATCATCTGGCTCTGACCTCATTCTATATGTCTTTGTCAGTACTTCATTTGTGAAGTAGTCATTTGGTTCAAAATGAAATTCTAATGTGAAACTCTTAAAAAGAATTGCAGAGCAACAACTTTAGCAATTTATCAACACATACCTTTAACTTCTACATACCTAAAATCCAAAACCAAAAATACACATGCAATGGAATATATCCATCTCCTCCAAAATTGAAACGGTGCACATATGTAACTTATTCTAGAATTTGCTGCCCAAGTTGTACAATAAATCTTCAAATGTTTTCATTTACCATGTTGATCTTGTGCTTATTAGTTAATATACTGCTTGCAGTAATGACACAAGATCTCCCAGTGTACAACTTTTCTGGTGCTCACGTATAGAGAGAACTTCTAAATTTAAAATATTAAAACTTAGCAAGCCATCTGATTTCTGGCAAGGAAATTATATCCAATTATAACAGTTATACAAAAAGTACCTGAAGGTATCAAAATTTAAAGGTGAAATTTAGTCATCAGATATTAAGGCCAAGTTATTAACTCATCAGAATTTGAAGGTTAAATTAAGTATAAATTCATTCACATGGTACTGCAAGACTAGTATTAGTCCTTGTACTGTTTTTCAGAAGACAAGAAGCAGCTGCATATTTCTCATGATTGCCATAAGACAATTAGCTATCACAGACCGTGCTACTAATAAACTAATAAGTCTTAAGATAACATAAAAGTAATCTTGTTAAATAGGTTAAACAAACCATAGGCTGTCCAACTTCTGAAAATTTCACTTTTATATCTTTTAAGTGTTTCAGGATAGGTTCATCATGTTCCTGTAAAGAAAAACACAGTTAATTCAATTTTCATAACATTAAATTGTACAGAGATTTAAGACCCTGCAGAGATAAAGAGCCATATTTAGAATCAGTTTCACACACAAGAACCTTCTTACAGCACTGAAACATTTTCATGAATGGGACCAGCAGATGGCAACAATGGCCATACACTTTCCACTGCAGTGGAAGAAAATTAACTCTATCCCAGCTGAAATCAGGACAAGTACACAACCTAAATCCATACTAACACCAAGTAGTTTTTAGCAATATCTAATACACATCTCATACACACACTCCTATAAATACAGAAAGTGTGTTAGTAAGGTAAAATAAGTAAAATAAGTTCAACAAATAGACAGCACAGTAAGAAGGTATTTTAGACTGCTCTGTGCTCTCAGTTGAATTAAGTACCACAGATGACATCAAGTACTTGTTCCATTTTTGCTCTCCAACAGACACATGAAGTAATGCACTGTTTGTACTCCTTTCTTAAAAAAAAGACACTCGAAGTTGCATTAGTACTTAATTCAAACAAGCCTGGACGACCACCTACCTGAACCATATCACTGAGCAAGTCCACGTTCTTGAATACTGTCAGCCAAAACTCAGGAATTCCTTTAGGGTCTTCTTTTTCTTCATCCTTTTTTTCCTCTTCAAGCTTGGCTTTCTCTTTCATTTCCTCCTTGATAGAATTAAAATGTTAGTTTTTCTTAATTTTAAAAGAGTGCCCAGAAGGTTCGTTAACAGTTTTATGTTGATACCAGTAGAGATTAAATTTCACGTGCATGCTTTAAGCAATCATTATGAATTATTATAAGCAAGCAATCATTATGCACCCACTTTTTTTTTTAACTTTAGTTACTGTGTTGAATCTTGTGTCATGCTAAAACTTGAGATATTGATGAGAGCCGATTATGATACTCACTGAAATTTCTTCTTCGACATCTGCTTTCCATTCACATTCTTCCTCTGTAGGTTCATAAATTGCATTGATGATTTCACTTCGCTGGAAGATTAAACCAAGAATATTTTCACATTTCCTAGTCTTTGCAACCAGCAATGCCGTAACCAATAATTTCCTAATCCTAAAGTTACACAATTGGTAATACATTAACTATTTACCAAAACTTCTTCTTCTGGCCCTAGAAGACGATTCAGCAGTTAGAGCTTTTCAACACACTAATATAAGCACCAAAGTTCCAGAAAGGTTACCATATCATCTGACGTGCTCAATTAACAAGATGAGGCCTGGTATATTGAAGTGAAATTGGTAACCATGGAAGAAACTGAACCTTTCTCCCCCTTCATCTTAGTTGATATTCACATGGATAGTAAAATGGTGTCAGTTGAATTGAATGGGCACATACAAGGCCAAAATAATTCAGAACATGCATAAGCTTTCAGTTTATGTTCCTTGTTTTAGCTAAAGCTTATAAGTACAAATCAGATTAGCATTAAAATACCTTGTCAAATAAGGGCTGATAGAGAGCAGCATACTTTCTTTCCAGCTCGTGAACTTCCTCATAGAACTTTGCTTCTATCTGTGCACACTGAACTTGAAGATTCTTGAGAGCATTCACACGTCTTTTAACAACTTTAGGCAAGCTGAAAGATTCAGTGACAAAACTGTTACTAACATTGCATGCTAAGCACATGTTGACCCCTCCTTAACCAGCCCTCTTAATAACCAACTTGCATCAAAACAGATTTTACACTCTACTTCAAGCTTTAGAAAGCTGAACAAATCAAAACTATGACCCACTGTACCATGCGGATTGAAACTGTTAGCACAGGCTCTTAAACTGAGGCTTAACCTGAATTAGAACCAGAGTATTCCAAACACCTGGATCAACTGAGACAAACTTGTGCAATAAAACTTCATACTAAAAACAAGTTTTACGTTATCAATGAGCAGCATAGTAAATTCATATGATTAAGCAGAATTAAGAAAGGTCTAATCACTAACGGGCTTGGTTTTATGAAAGAAAGTTCAAGACGATTGAATTATTACTTCGCTAAGGAAGTCAATCTTCAAAATTCACATTTTTGTTTCACTCAGGAAAGCAGCTGGTACTACTGTCTTCTAACACACTAACTGTCATTCCCAAAATGAGCCAGAACTGTTTTGCTAAATGAGCCACTGTATTATACATGTATAAAAGGAAGCAATTAATGCAATCCTCATTATAAATACTTGACAGCTACAACTCCTTAATACTAGTTTCACTTTAGTAAAATAGCAAACAGACTTACTGTTAGGACAGAAAGTTACCGACATCAAGGTTACTGGTGAGATTTATGGGGTAGACTGCTGACAGCCTCCATTGCCTGTGAGGTGGGCCAAATCCCAGCATATAGCTACAGATTATTGTGTTAACTTCCCATATTTATTTTATTTAAGCAGTTGGGCCACATTATTTAGAACACAGTAGTAAACAACTGCTTTTAATTGTTAGGACCAGCTTCAGGTTAGAGGAAGTAACCAAGAATACGTTAGCTTAGTTAAACACTGAAAGTTTGCATTAATTAAAGCTATCTTACCTCTATTAGGAAGGACAAGCACATGTTTCAACATCCTTGTTCACTTTAAAATGCAGAACCCTTCTCCCTGATGGCTTTATGCTCTACATGAATATACTATTTCTGGTTACTAAAATAATATGCAGACCACCAAGAAATCAAGATTTCCCTTAACCTTCCAATTTGGGCAAAAGTACATCTTCTACACGAACTACCAAAAAAAGCTTAAATTTAGTCACGTATGTTGATAAAGGGTTGACAACATTCCTGTCACACTGACATTTTTCCAGAAGTTAGTCAAGTTAATCATAATTTTATCTTCAAGTACAATATCAGAACTAACAACAACTTAAGTAGCAAGTTCAGTTAGTTCAGGGAAAAAATGTTAAGGAAGAAAATTAATACGACCGCACAGGTAAGTCATACAACAATCACCCACTTAATGCCACATGCATATATTTAGACTAAGAGTATTGGTCCTAGCAATTGTATGTAAAAACACTGAAATTTCTAAGAGGTAGTACCATACATGCAGCATGTCCAACTCCAGTGTGTCAGAGTAAAGATTTTAACCCCTTTATTAAAGAATCTAGAATCTCTTGCATGTGTCAAAGCTACATTTTGTTACAGTCCATGCCAACTAGTTCAAATTTCACAATTTGTACATCCACTACCTTTATAAACTCTGTACTTAAAAAAAAAGGTAGCTTCATGAAAGAGACAGCTTTTACAGACCAAGAAGTATGAACTGGACTGCATAAGTACAACAGCAGCAAGTAAAACCTGTTGCTCTGAATAGAAGCCACTACCAAGTGTTATAATTACACAAGAATACAACCTCCTGCAAGCAGATGAGGGAAATTCTATGCTATGAAAGTAAGTTTCATTAAAATTATTGTGCCAGGCACAGGTGAAGAGGTAAGTTATTGGATAGCTGTCAGGCAATTAGCAGATTCTAAGCTTGAGCAGACAGATGTTTTCCTGGAACCTGTTTAGTTTCCTACCAGCTTATGCATCTAGTTCCTTAACAGCCCACATAACAGGCTTTTAGGATCCCAGATAAAACTTCTGTGCCAGTGTCTAGACTCTGTAGATAAATAAGCTCAAAATAATATTTGGGAAGACACGTAAGAGGTACTTGTAAAGCATGGTTAAGTCAGCATGCATACGTTGAGAAAGTGCAACAAGTTACACACATTTTCCAGCTATTTTTGTACTGCAAGTTAGGTAAGCATTTGGTAACAATGGCAAAATTGCAATGCTTTTGTGATAGAGAATGCACTACTGTACTTGGAACTGATGAAGAAATGGTACAGTATCTTAGAGAGCAGCTGACTAGAAGAATGCCATGTAAATCAAAGTTACCACTTTTGTTCACTTCTTAGATCAAGGACCTGAAAGATTAGTAGAGGTTAATTAACATCTGTTGAAAAACAGAAGAAAAATATTGCGTATAAAAAGCCTGTAGTGTACAGTATTTAGAAGAGAAAGAACCTGGGTACCCTGTAACTCCTGCTCTCTCTTGGGCCAGTATTTATTAAGGAAGGCTGTTAGTTAAATGGGCTTTTCTTCCATGCTATCATCTACAAGAGGGAAGTGGTATGAGTAGGAGTAGCAGCAGCAGCAATGCCTGTTACTCAGTAGCTGCCCCAGTTCAAGTCAATAGCAATGTAGGACCCTATCACAGCAAGACAGTTATGACAATTCCAGTGGATGTGGTGAAATGTTTGTACACAATCAGAAATTACATGAGAGCCAGAATATTCTATCTGTTAACGCAGATCAAGTAAAGAAAATTTTAGCAAGAGATTGTTGCAAGTTTTGATGCATAAGGAGACCACATGAAGTACTGATACAACGTTCCTAATTTTATTAGCTCCTGGTTACACTCTAACCAAAAAATGACTATATTGAGACACTGGGTCTCCAAGTATTTGTCCATACTTAAAATAACTGATGTTTCATGATTAAGGCAAAGCTACAAAAGACATTCCAAATAGCAGGAAAGTATCCTTTAAAAGTGTGCCATATTGTAACTGCAGGGAATAGGGTCAGCCACTGCAAATATTTTAGCATTCTTTTCTTCATAAAAGCCCAAATAAAAACTCTTTAATTCTGAGATGCACTACAGACAGACTATATTAGTTTTCCTGCTATCTGGGCAGCACAGTGGTTTATGGCTACTAATCCTACAGACAATACTGTTCAGAAAGCAAAAGAACCATTTATACCATTCTGCTCATACTGAACAAATACTGTACCTTTCTATATATCCTGTAGATGTTCCTACCAGACCATCAAGTCTTTCCTGAAGGGCTGCAAGAATCTGAGGATTTTGCATCATCTGTACAGTCAACTGCCGAGCTAAATTAAAAAAAGAAAATTACGTAAGTGCAAAGTGCATCTTTTGGACTAATCTTGAAAGAACAGTTACTTAAATACTACAAAAGAGCAGTAAGTTTACTATATATACACTTGTAAAAAGAAACGTAGGCAAAGAAGTATTTCAAACACCTCTCCATTTTGGAAGCATGGATCAAATCCACCATATTCTGAACACAGAAGCAGCACCTGGATTAAAACAGCCACTATTCAGCAAGCTGAGCTTTTTTTGTTAGAAGGGAAGGTTTTATATGATGCTTCTAAAAGCATCAGTTTTGCCTTGACTGCTTTTATTTTGAATTCATTAATGAAAGGCAAGGTAGAAGAATTTGTGCTTTTACTTTAAGAAGGGAATAAAACCCAGAATTGGGATTTTCATTCCATTTTAAGTAAATGGAAAGAAACAAGACAGTTTCAGACCTGGATTTAAAACTGCTTTACAACTCTATGTTCACCTAATTTTTCCTGCAAAAGAATAAATTATTCATTAGAATAGTCTGACACATTCTTGACTACAGAATATCAGTACTAGGTCCTTGAAGTCTATCATCTACATCATCTTTAGAAAGCACTTTGTCCAAATAGGACACCTGTTTCAAACTACAAGGTAGAAGTACATTTAAAAAACCACACAAATTCCTAGCCTAAGTGTTCTCATTATCCAGATTAACATCAACCCTTTTACTTCTGCTCAAAATCTGTGCCTCAACCTGCAGAAATGAATTTCACAACTTCGTATTTTTTAATAAGAATTTATGATCATTTTTATCATGCTGTTTTGCCTTCTTCCTGCTATCCTCAACATCTACAGATAGGCAAACAAGTACTTTGCATTCCTTATAAGATACTAGGTTTATATAGCATTCTTCTGACACCTTCAAATTAGAGTGAAGCTTTTGAATCATTCCTGACACACAAAGCTCTTGGAAATAACATAGCATTTTCCATTTCTATGCCCTTCACTACAATAACCACATGTGAATATACTCTTCCACTTTGAAAGAAAAGTTATGTTTCAAGCGGCATCCAAAAAAGCAGTCTTGTTTCTCCATAATGATTGCAATCAGTTTATATTTTAGCAGTAGAAGCTGTGATTACTTCTTAAAGGTACTACCTCACATTAGTCCACACTACTCCTCCTGTCAAGGTATCTAGTCTTTCCTATACTCTTGAAAACCTACCCATTTGTGCCACTGGAGTATGTTGCCAGTTATTCTTCAATACCGAATCAGTATACACATCATACACATGATAGGACAATGCCAACAGCCACATCCCCTCAAACTGAAATCTGACCACATATTCTGTTTTGCAGGTTCTTGGATCTACGAACACTATTTCTTCAAAGAGGTTTTTCCTAAAAGCATGAGTGCTTTACTTAGTGTCCACAGAAGGACCTTTGACATATGTAAAAGTGGAATTAGCTAGATTTAAAAAAGTAAATCAGTAAAACCTAAGGAAAAATTCTACAAAACTAGACAAGCAAGAATTACAGATGCAAAAGAACTACTTAATACTGTGTCACATTTCCCTACTACTGAAACATGTTTCTGATTTATAAAATCCAATTTCCCTCCAAGGTTCCTATAGCATAATTTCCCCTCAGATCCTCATCTACAATAGCTGGGATTAATCACTAAAAATATACACTATTCATCTCTAGGTTCCTTTGGAACACCTGAATACTTACCATTTAATTATTATAAGCTGTTCTTCAGATGACCAGTGTGTTCCCTAGAATTTTGCAATCCAGTTTTTAAAACACTTTTTTCAATAGATATAGCAAAGCCTCTAACATTATCTTGAGCAAAATTATCCTACTTTTCTTTAGTGTAATTACTCTGTTCAAACAGAGTATTTGCTTGAATCAAATCAAGCAATCACATGATTTGGCACTATCAGCAGTCCAAATCATTTAATTGCAGAGATTATTACTATTTCTCTTTTGGCTACTTGCTCCTCACATTCTATCTATGCCCCCAATGTTTAACTACAAAGCATGAGTAAGACTGTTCAGCACAGACAAAACAAGTATTCTGATACATGTTCAGGTTTTTTTGTTGAGGGAGAAAAAGAAGGATTTATTGATTTTAAGTGGAGTAACACTAAGCATGATTTTTGTTCTGTTCACAATCAAACAACTCAGCAGCAGATTACTACGCAACTGATCTAAAAAATGACACACACACAGACATATATGCACCTGATTTTTTTCTAGACAAAGCTTCACATTTTAAAAGCTTTTAACTGTTGTTAGTTTTGAAAGAATCTAGTCACATACCCACAATAATACTTTCTTTTCCAATTATACACCCTTACAGGTGGCCAGTGCTGCCTGAACTGGTACTAACTATGACTGAAATGAGTGACTGCAGACAACAAATAAAAATTGCACAACCAGGAAAAAAAAGTCCTTGCTTCAGTATTTAAATACAGTTGTGCATCAGTAGTTATGTTTTACCAATTCCCATTATTTTAAGCAGTAAAATCCTTTTAACACATTAATTACAAAGCACATATGCAGCTGCTTAGAAACTCTTGTTTTCAACATTACCTTTGCTGTTGGCATCTTCACCAGTTTCTTCTTCTTCTACTTCTTCAACATCTTCCATATCCTGTTGATCAAGTTCAGACTGTTCTTTGCTATTAGGAATATTCAATAACAGGATCAAGTAGTTAATTTTATAAAATACTATCACGAGCTCAAAGAGCTCAAGTTAGAGAACATGTGGGTAGAAGCAAATTGTTGCATTAGTTTTGATCTATGACAAACTAGAAGTCGTAATAGCCAAACAAAGCCAAATTTGTCTTCATAGATTCAAGTTTCACATTCATCAATCTCGGAAAAGTTTAAAGAACTAGCAGCTTTCCAGAATTTTTAAGATTCCTTTTTTCAAAAGAATTCCTTCAGCTCCTGCTCATATCAACAAGTCAAAAGCCTCCTTCTGCTCTACACATCCTCTTTGTTAAGATGTGCAGGCCTTGAGAACTAAGTGTACGTTCACCTAAACTATACTTCAAATGCCACAAAATATGAGCATTTGAAGTATAGAAAAAAACTACATACAGTGAAACAATAGTAATGGGCAGTACTATTGTTTTTTCCCCTCCAGAATTCCAACCAACATAGTAAGTTGACTAGTGCCTTGTCCCAGTTTTAGATTTACTTACAATTAAGATCTCAAACCCATTTGGCATGGGCAACTCAAGCTTTTCTCCCACATGCTATAAAACTCACATCTTGCCACAGTGCCAAGATCACTACCTAGACTCTGTCTATCAAGTATCTGGAGATCACAGCCATCTGAAGTACAGCACAGGACACAGTCACAGCTTCAGTAACCTACAGATTTTACTTACTTGTCTATGTCTGCCATTCTCCTAGATTTCAAACCCTAGAAGAAAAAAAACAAAAATGTAAGAACAGCAGCATTAGACTTCACTTACAAGGTCTACAGGCAAATGCCGTAACACTAAAAAGGAAAGAAATACAAACCATGCCAGCTTTAAGAAATAGGATAAATACATATTATAGTCTGAAGAGTGGCATATCTCCCATGCACTTTTTGAGCTCTCACTCTAAAGCATAGAGAAATACTGAAAAACTTTGTCCTGGTTTAGAACCAATAGATCCACTCACACAAATTTAAGTACCAGCAAAATGCCATGTTGCATTTTGTATCATAGGACTGTACTAATATCACAGATTGAAAACTAGTCCTAAGTATAAAATCAAAATATAACCTGAGAAAAACTGAAGCAAAAAGGGTGCTGAACCCTTTTGGTAACTGTTTACTCATTTCCAGCATGTAACTGCAGACAGAGGATACTTACAGCTAAATCAGTTTCTTTTAAAACTAAAGATGCATTTTCGTAGATTTACTTTTAATCCCCGCATTACAAAACCAATCCAAGTAGTTCCTCAGAATACCCAGAGAATCGCAATGTTTTAAAAAAAAAATTTGATGCCAAGGTGCCAAGCTATTTAACATGACTAATTTCCATGCCCTGAATGATCAGAATTTTCTTAAGTATCTCAGTATCATAATAAACACATACACAGTAACTAGAAACATTATATGTTAAGACTATTGCAAATCTTGCATACCATGAAGCACTTATGTTCTCAAATGTATTACAAGATTACAACCAATTTTCCACCGGCAAAACAGTACTTAGGAGTCTAGACTCCAAAAAGATGCTTTGGGTAGCTTGAAGTCAGAGACAATACTACACACAAGAAAACACTGTCCCATTATTGCCATCTTAGGTCCAATGGTCCAGGAGACACTAAGTACCAAGAATAATCCACTGGTCCAGGAAGCATGGAAACCACTGCTTTAGAGTCCCCAGCAGCTTACTGCTGTCCAGTAAGCTAAACAAATTCAAGATTCTTTCAAGAAGTTCAACTCCTTATAATGCGTTCCAATGAGAATTTTAGTCAAAGTGTTGGAGGTGTGTGTTCTAGGAAAAAAAACGAAAATTGCATTTGATCTGTGCAAAGTGTGTAACACAAGAGCACAATCCCAGTAGGATCAGGACATTAACTGTCAACATGAAGAGACACGTTAGAATCTAAACTTCAGAATTTAACACCTACGTTCTATGTAGATATAATCAAAATATATTTTTCTGGTGTCATACATACTTCCCAACAATTACATGGGAAGTAATTATCTGATGTCTTCATTTAGGACCACAACTTTACAGTACCAATAAAGTATTTCGGATACCGCACGCAATCAAAAAGGTTCAATTCGCTACTATGCAGAAAACCTAGGGAACCAACTACTTGTCAATCTATTTCAGAAAGATAATACAGTATTTGCTATCCAATAGAATGGCAGCACTGCTGTAAACCAAAGGACATCTTACAACTCAGTAAGAAATCGAGGAGTTCCAGTAACATTTTTGATTCATTTTAAGTTTCTCGAAATTCAGATCACGTTTGCTTGTCTTGTGACTTCACGTTTACACATGGATGCAAGCTGCCTACATAACAACTCCAAAGAGTCTCCTCTGGATACCATTCTCAAAAGATAGCATGGACTGAAGACCTATAGAAACTGAAAACATACTACAATTACAACTCACATTTAAATGTCTCCGTATTTCTTTAGTGACATAACAATTAGCATTATTTCTGATTTGCAAAAGATTTTACCCATGCAAAATACACAATTTTTTCCTTACACATTTTCTCTTAATTTGTTTTTCTTGCAGGACCTTTTCAAGGAAGAGACTGCTAGTATCACTGTGCAAAAGAACACGAGGTGCACAGTTATCCTGCCTTTCACACATTTTTATGTAAATGTGACAGACAGTGATCACATTCACAAACTGTTATTGCTCCTTGCAGAGAGCAACATTTCCTCTCTCCATTCTCCCCATCAAATACAGCTTCACTTTCCATAAAACTAGAGGCAGTTCTTTCAGCAAAGGTGTGACCAGTGACAACAAACCCTGCGGCCTCATCAAGCCAGTGGCCTAGATGAAACAGCAGCTGAAACACCTTAGATAAAGGTTTGCTGAAAGACACTGATTTCTACAGTTAACTTAATTTTTTTTTTCTAAATGAGGACATGAGATTGGCTATGACCAAGCCATGCCTAAAAACTCTAAGAAGTATCTATCCCATCTCCAACAGTGGCCATTAGCAGATGCCTAGAAAAAAAAAGCAATGACATGGGAAGAATTCCCCCAGAAACTCTTCTAGCTTTCAATCACATTCAGAAAAAACACAGTGGCTCACGAAGTGCAGGTAATTGACATCATCATAATTATTTTATAAACTAGTCCTTATCTTTCCTGAAATCATGCAGGTAAGCTGATGTTATCACTCAAGTATCAAAGTGCTAAAATCCTGTTTCTGAATTGCAACATTCAGCTCAGAGATCAGAACTAAGTCAGATTTTTCTACACTGGGCAACAGTGTGGCAGAGGAAGTTTCACCAGCAAGCAGTCTCTGTGTTCTGGAATTCCTCAGTGAGCCCTTGTTTTCACCATTCTGAACAACTACCTGTCATCCGCAACCTTCATCCTTTCACTGTTCATCCTTCTTTCCAAGATCACTTATGACCATGCTGAAGGCATTCATCTCATTACAGAAGCCTTTGGAAGTCCAGCATCTGCCTCTCTCTCCTCATTGCAAGCGAGCAGTTACTCACTCTGTTTCCTGGCTTTTAAACAATCCATGCAAGCACGGTATGTTTTCCAGCTATGGCCCAGTTTACTCAAAGACTTTGAATAACATTCTTAAAGATTTTTTTGGAAATTAAAATAGACTGTATCAAGCAGCTGTCAACTTCAGAGACTCCCTCCGGTGCATTCCTATCTGCCTCATCCCATTTTTCCTATTCTCCTTGCATCGGTCTTTTTCGTGTCTCATCCTTTAATCTTCCCTCTGCTTTTCACACAACTCATATCAGAACATTTGCAGTTGGAAGAGTTGTTCTTCAAACTGAGGAGACACTACTGTTTGCCACGACACTGTCATCTGCCAGCTCTAGACAACTGTTCTTGTATGAGGAGGCTACAAGGCACTATGCCAACAGAACTACGCTGACAGACATTTAGAGTAATCTGTACAACCTACTAGCATGGATATATAGTGGCATCACATTTAGTTTATTGTAATTTACTTAAACAACCATAAGCTTTTCTGCAAACACAGTTCTACTGGTAAAAAAAACTGTAGAGGCAGACAAGCACTGAGAAAATGCCTTCCTTAAGAGCAAACAGCCTCCACTATTTTTGCACAATGCCTAATACAAAGTCCCAGCCTAGTATCCAGAGCTTCAGATACAATATGTACCACAATCAGTAACACTAAAACACATCACTGCAGTATTTATTTTGCAGTATCTCCCCAAAACTAAATCTTTGGATATAGTACTCATATCACTCCACTTTCCACAAGAAAGACGTAGCTGTCCTTCCCAGTTTGTTTCATAGGTGCCTTTAGGATTGTGAACAGCAGCTGCACCTTGGCATGTGAGCAGCAAGAAGCATTCACTGGTATCACTCCTTGAAGTGGTCCCTAGGAGATATGAGTTCACCAGTTGTCAGTGCAGGATTATAACAAACCTGGCTACAGATGGTGTGTTACTTGAAGCCTCAGTGTCTAGGCGATTGCTTTGGGCTGAGATACTACCCAGAATCTAGGCTTCCTGACTGCAAGAAAAGGCTTAGGAGTACCAGTAAAGGGTAGCCTCCTCCCCTGTTCAAAAGCCAGCAGGCAAATAACCTCCTTATTTGTAAAATATGTTATTTCCCTGTTACTTAAACAGCTACAGTCAGTAGCACTGCATTATGGTCAAATACAGAGGTGCCCAGAGGCTTCACTTACAATGTTTTGCTGCTCACTGTAAAAATACGCACAGGAAAAGAAATAGTTATCTTATCTTTGCAGGGCTTTAAGGACAACACATAGGGAGTTCATGCTACAAAAAGGAAGCAGAAGCACAGAAAAGCAAGCTACAGTGCAAGTTTTCTAAAGGCTAAAGTTTAAAACTTCTTTCATACAGGTAGCTTAAGCTCAATTACAAACCTGCCTACCATCACAAGAAACATGTTCTTTTTCAAAATGGAAAGGTTAGGGTACTTAATCCAGCACAAACTTAGCCACAGTTTTGAGTGCATCCTGTAGAATTACTAAAAATTACCAGAACTCTCTTAAAAACTTAAATCTTACCAAAACAGTATGAAAATTTGCTATTTTCATAATGTTTAAAGGATACTTCACCTCTTTAATCTGTCGTGTTTCTTAAGAAATGTAGTTTGATACATGCAGAAACTAATAATGATATTGCCACGTGTTCATCCTCAAGTTACCCATTAGTAAGCTTTCAGTTTTCAGGGGTTATTGTTTCTTCACTAAGTAATTTTGCTCAAGTGAAGACAGAAAAACAAACTAAATATTCAGCCCTTCTCAGTCTCCTTTTTTCCCAGTCTGCCCTTATCCACACAGAAACCAGTCTGAGTTTGCACAGCAGCGCCAGCCATGTTACAGCTAGGACACGAACGCTCTGGTGAGAAGCCTTTCCTTTCTGAAGGTCAGCTGGAAGTGTCTCAAGTAAGCAGGCCAGTATTAGATTACCCTGACATCCGCTCGGCCTCAGGAAGACGGATCACGGCGAGGTGAATTAGGAGTCAGCTGAGGAGGCAAGACATTCCTGAAACACAGTTCCTGCAGCAAAACAACAGCTTTTTTGCACGAGCCCTAAGGCTGGCAGGCCGCCAACAGGTCTCAGCTGTTCAGCATCTCTGTGGATACCACACCACGCATGGTACCCATTCCGCCCCTTTCAGGAAACATCATTTCCCCTTCTCTAGAGGAATTGCTCACACAATTAGCTTGCAATAGCAAGTAGAAGAAATTTCTCAAGCAGTTCAAGGGACACAAATGGGCTTTTTGAGGATACTGGACCCAAGCTACAGCCAAGCCTTGTTTACTCACATCTTTAAAAGACGTCTACCCTTTTGCCCAAACTAATTTCCTCAGTAGTCAATAACTCAGAGCACTGCAAATAAGTCAGCCTGTCCGTAGAATAGCATATCAGCCTCCTTCTGTCTCTGGCAAGTCTTGGGCAACTGAAAGCAATACATTAACAGAAAATACCTAAAACAAATGAGCCCTATGTGGGATTAAGAAGCCGCAACATAAGATAATAAACTAAGTGGACTAAGTCAGATGTCAGTGATGAAAAGAGAGGTCCAGCTGGAGTACAGCTAGTTGTATAAAAAAAAATTAGGGTTAAGTCCTGTAAGCTGCTATTTGCAATGTGTGCAGAAACCAAAGGTGCCAGACAAATGACATCATACCATCTAAGTTCAACTCTCACTACAGACTGGGAAACTCAAGAGGATTATATTCACTGAAAGTTACTTCAAGCTGGTGTTCTTGCCTAGCATTCCAGGAGGGCAATTTGTAACATTTTTCTTTACATAATGAGCATCAAAAAAAAAGAAAACAAAATTTAAAGTTGTAGTGTAAAGATCCATCACAAGATGCTCTTTGACTGTAAATGTTCAAAATAATTGTTTCAGGTAGTTTGCTTAAACCACTAAGAGAGGTTTATAACTTTAAAGAGCTCAGATGCTCTGCATAGTGCAGTTTCACCCACCTCAATGTCAGAAATGGGTGAATTGTTTAAAAAGTGCACAGTACATGGCATAGAGTTACACACTTCAAATATTTTGGTACCAAGACCTAAAAAACCATATAAATCATTTCACAACTCTTAGTAGAAGCTATAGTACCAACCACCAGCTAGGAAAATTGTTACATGAGAAAGGATCACACAGTTCAGTAGTAACTAGGAGAGCATTTAGCTCCTCTTCAAAAAGAAGCAATTGAATAATGTATCAGATTAAAAAATGCCATTTCAAAAGGGAATCAAGCAGAAGACCAAGTGTTTCCTTTTTACTTATGTGATCAAATTCATGAAACATCTATTATCATTAGCATGGAAATTGGTCTTTAAACAAGGGGATATTGCGTCTATCATTAACGTGGCAGATAAGCAACATATTACAAACAGATTATATCATTCATATTATGGAAAAAAATATGCCTTCTTAGGAAAGCCGAAGGTCAAAAAAAAAATCAATCTCAATTAAGTGAGCAGGGTAATCCTATGCTAGAACATCAAGATACCACATCTATTTGATGAAAGACATTATCAGCCGCTGAACTCTCTACAGACAATTCCTTTTATTAGTGCCTCAAAGTTCTTTTGTTAACAAAAGATTTCTGATAATGTAGGAGAGCAAAAATTGACAAAATTAATTTAAATTTTCTAATCTAGAGTAGATAATTAAGATTGTCTGCCCAAATACAAGCACAAAAAACAAGAGTATGATATAATAAATGAGATAGTACTAATATAAAGGTCTGATAAAGACACTGAGGAGCTAATGGTCAATGGAAGCAAGGAATCTGGGTTCCTCAATACAGTAACAAGAAGGTGCCACTGGACCCTTGCAGTAACACAAACCCTTCGGTTTTGTCACAATTGATTGTGCAAGCACCAACTCATCCACTATGTCCAAAAGACATGCACAGTCAACAGCAGAAATGTTAACTGGCATGGTGATATATGGGAATCCTTAGCAGAAGCTTGAGTAAGGTCTTCTGGACCAAGCAGAGAAGGATAAGAAATTCAGATGAGTAGCGGTGTTTCACAAAACATACTCAGAACATTTAGCTACATGCAAGTGCTAAATTGACCACAATGGGAAGCACTCACATCATCACAAGGGAGATATGCCCCCTTCATAAAGGGAACACCAAGTTTCTCTGCTGAACGATCTCCCAGACAGCTAAAGCCAATATAACTGGCAAATGCTGCTGGAAAAGTTTGTCATCGTTCTTCCTTGGCTATGTATACCCCCTTCCTTTCATCAGCAATGTCTGAACGGCTGCAAAGTTAAAAAAAAAAGTGCTAGGTATTTCTTTGTACAGGGCTAGACCTGCAGTTGCATGAGTAACAGCAGAGTCAAGGGACGGAGGGCGCCACAGATGAATACCTTTTATAACAACTCATGAATAGGGTTAGGAAAGTTTGAAGTTACTGTGAAACTGTATGCTACATCTTACCTTGTGATAACATGGCAAAATTCAGAATCTGGCTGTAGAGAATAAAAACACTAAATCATGTTAATGCTGAACCAAGTTAATGCTGAACCAATTTAGGGACATGGTTTAGTGGGCATGGTGGTGTTGGGTTAACGGTTGGACTTGATGATCTTTAGAGGTCTTTTCCAACCTTAATGATTCTATGATTCTATGATTCTAAGTAACACAACACAATTAATTGAAACTGTCTGCTCTCTCCACTTCAAGTGGTATTTTTTGCTTTTCCTAGTAACTCCTGAGGTAAGGGCACCAACTTCGGCCATTTGCCAATGCAATTATTTCACTGGTGCTTGCAGGCCTCTGCACAATACATGTTATGGCATGAAAACACAGATTTTCCACATTTCAACTTTAAAGTGCTCTACAACTTGCATGAGAACACCAGTTACATCGTGGGAAAAACTCAAATTCTTCAAAACAAAACAGAATGATCATATATATAACTAATTCAGTTATTAGTAACTGCAGGGCTTGCTTTCATTCATGTGGAAACACTTTTTAGAGCTTTCCCCTTAACTAATTTTTAAATCAGGAAATGAAGATTCAGTCAACAAATACTGAACTCCTCTATTTTATAGCATTTTCATTGAATTTTAGGTAGTGCCTGTTTACTCTTGCAGCAAACAAGAGTCTCCATAAGGAGAAGGAAATGGACTACAGAATTACAATTTAAAATCAGGACTGAATTATATCTGCATGTTTGTCTCTGCTCCTGATCTGAGCTCCCTGATCATGTTCTAAAAATAGGGTAATTAACACACAATGTGGCCTTTGTTCTGGATGCCAAGATTCTGTAGCAGAAAACCTAACAATTTCTATTTAGAACAATCTTTCATTATTAGAAAAGTAATCCAGAAATTTAAATTCAAATCTGAAAAACCTAAATAAGGATTTTTTTTTTTTAAACAAACTAATCAGTATAGCTTGTTGCAGTTTCTCCTTTTCATCACTGATAATGGGAACACAGCAGCCATCCTAAAGGGCTGAAATCAAAATCTTCATATATAAAGAGAGATTTAAAACTTCCTAAAAGAGTATTTCTCTATACAGTTCATATTCGTACAAGTATTCAGTTTGTTAAAAAGTATCGAAGTAATACAAAAATTGTGTTTTAACAAAGTACTTCAGGTAGATCAACTTGTGCATGCCGCAACATCAAACAAGGAAAGGAAAGTATCAGTTGACTACTGAGATTGCCACATAATTACACACAACCATATTGTCAGTTACGCTGCTACCTGCAAGACTCACACACTGCAGCATTGACATTTTTATCCAATTTGACTTAAAAAAACATCTAAACATCCTTATCTGAAAAGAAAACTAAAATAAACCACTGAAAAATGTGTACAGGTTTCAAAAGCGTGTTTTTTGCTGGAACATCTGATGAATGCAATATTGTAAATTCATTCACCCCCCAAGAAGCCACTGAAATTCCTAAAATACATTTAGCAATTTTTTTATTCGTTTCAGTTCAATATTTTTTCCATGGAAACAAAGCCAATACTAAACTGCAAACCTTAAAACGTCCAGTTTTCAACTAACAAGCTAGCATTCACTAAGAAAGAACACAACAATCTAACTTTGACACATTTTGGAGGCTATCATGGGTGAGATGTCAGAATTGGTAGTAAGACCCAACAGAAGTATACACATGGTTATGGTTTCAGTAAGTCACTTTCAAATGAATACAGGTGCAGAGTTTAAAAAGCATTTGTAAATATATACTACACCTGTAGAGAAGAACTTGAGCCTTATTTACAAAGTGATCTTCATAAACATTTTCTTGTGAATTTCACTCAATCATGCTTTTGGCACCAGTAGAAGTACCTGATACTTCCATAACAGCGAAGAATCAAGAGGCCATGTCATGAACATCTCACCAGTTCAAAAATAGCGAGCACATTTCTGATGATGCTACCTTGCACACACAAGGAACAGAATAAAGCACTTAGACCAGCTCATACTTAACTATCCAAAGTCAAGATAAGTAATTTCCAAAACCGGAGTATCACAGAATTAAGAACTGCTTAAAAGGGTGATCCAAGCGAGGCAAAATAAATAGTACTAAAATCTAAAGTAACATATATTAAAAGAAGCAATTCAAACTAATTTAGAATTCAAAAGGTCAGAAAATTGCTGTGCAATACACAGGTATAATTGCATGCAGCCCACTGAAGACTTCTACTCAACATGCAGAAATAGTCAAGATCTGAAATGAATGCATGATGACTAAAACACACAATGCAAAATAAGATCATTATACACTTCAGTGATGTATCCTTAATAACATACTGTATTCACTGCTGAACATTGTGAAAGAGAGGAAATAGATCAGTTCAGGGCCTAGCAACATGAATACCTAAGGAACAGAAGCAGTTTCAATCTGAGATTAATAGCATTTGAGAAGTGAACAATGAGAAGTGACACAAAAATACCTAAGTTAAAAGGAAGTTCAAAAAGAACGTATTAAAAATTGGTTTGGATGTAAACAATTAACTGTTTTATTTCATGCTCCCTCCTGTGTCCCCCCAACTTAACCTTTCAAACGCTTAAGCCAGGTTTTTAACCAGAGCCAGAACTAAAAGGAAACTTTCCCTCGATGGCCAGTCATCTCACAAGAAATGTGAATGAACTGCCCCTCCTTTGAAACATCACATATTAAACATCTAAAGAAAGCAGTTGACTGAACTAGTCTTACTGCAGATCATCAGAAAAGACAACAAGCATTCATGATTCTAACCTGTGTCTTAGAAGCCTAGGGGTTTGCTCCACTCCAGATTTCAGGTACCTGCTTAGTCCAATCTCGTAACCAGAATTTCCAACACTTGAAAATGAGAATAATTCTAGTATCTCTCAGGTTTTGGGTGAGGGTTGCTTTGTTGTCTGGTTTGGTTGTGGTTTGGGGGGTGGGGGGGGTGAGGTGTGTGTGCTTTTTTTAAATAAATGCCAGATCAGCAGCTGAACACCACACGGATACAGGTACATCCAGAAACTGAAGTTTTCATACCTAAAAAGTTGCTTTCACGTTTTGATCATAAAAAGCTACTAAGGATAAACTGGTAGTATTTTGTTCTACAGTCTACAAAGATCAGGTGATGTGCAAGTGCCTACTCACTAAAGCAAGTTAAGCTTTAAACTGAGACATCACCACTATAAATTATTTCTGTGCAGATGTACATTTAAGCACACATCCTAAATGCATCCTGTATTTTCCAATACTAAAATCTAAACAGCTTTCCACCTAGGAAAGATCTCCAGTATAACCTTTGACAGTAGTTAAGATGCAGATTATGTTTTGATAGAATGTAAATTCATTAAAAAGATTAATCTTTCGGGAGCACATAAATTACTTCAAATCTTAAATTATTTATATTTTAAAACTAAATATAAGGTACCAGAAGTAAACTAGTAAGGTCTCCTTTTCTTTCCTGAATGCAACTGAAATTTTAGTCTGCAACATATGTAGTCTTCCTGAAAACTTAAGGTTGAAGTTATCACTAAATACACGAGGCCATATTCATAATTATGATTTTTCCCTTGCATTATCTTTGTTGAGTGTAGGAAGTCCTCAAAAACCTCATGCATTGTTTCTAAACAGCTTAATTTTTCAGAAGGTCATCAAATGAATCCCCAAGCAACTTCTGTGATGCCTTCGAGGCATGTCTGGTTTTCTAGACAAATACATTATGACTCCAGACCTACTCTCCAGATTAACAAAGTTAGGTGATGAAGAACTGCACTAACCTCTGAGCTGAGTGAGGATCAGCTAGATTGAATTAACTTTGATTATAATCACTTCTGAGCTCAAAGTAATTTACAAATGAAAACTGACCTATAAGCATTAAATCCATCATCACAACCATTTCTCAGACTAAAGACCTTTTGTACAATACTGTTCTGCTCTATTATTTACTAGCTGGTTTCCTAATGAGAAATTAGATGGAATGCAGTCGCCCAGACCAGAAGCTAACTCAGAAGACTCCTCAGCTCTAGTAAAATACAACCGACATCAAGAAGTCTTGTTTCTGTCTGCAAAGTACTATCTTCTGTATAAATGCCTACTAGTATCACACAAATACCAAAGCACTGTCAGTCCATGGAAAAACCCACAGCTGAAGTTTCACTGAATGTATATACAAATGCAGAAAAATGAACAGGCATTTAAAGAACACCTGCATCTCCATTTTCTGCAATCAGTCCAATTCCTGAAGTTTTCCAAAGAAATAAGAATTGGACCTTTAGTTTGAGATACAGCACGGTTGCAGCTGTGTCACAAGAATCTGAAGATGAATTGGGTTACAACCATATTAACAAAAAGGTGTAGATACCATAGACATGTTCATTACACCCACTGGTCTACTGGAATAAACTGACTTTCACCAAAGGATTCAATCAAGAATTCAAAACAGAAGATACTTGTCATATTCCCCCTGAGATTTTTCACTACTGAAATTCAAATCCTTAAGATATTTTCTTCCCCAAAGGAATATAATCCCTGCCACAATGAGTTAAGTTCTCCCTGTTACAATTACTTCAACTTTTATGAGCTAAGCGAATAAACAGATTTATACCAATGTGACTAACAGTACCAACAGTAAGCCAAAGTTTCCCTTAGGATCTAGAGTTCTGTATTAAAGAACATTGTCTCAGCCTGGAAGACTCAGGTCTCACTCAGGGTTGTGAAAACACTGCTAACAAAGCTTCATAACAAACATGCCCACAATGCCTTGCTTTCAGTTTCACTTGTGCACACATGTTCATTGTCAGTTATGCAAGAAGCCAAGATAAAAACCAGACCACCCATTTCCAGGGTGCTCAGTAAGCAAACCACCATAACAAGTCCCCTGCCTGCTCCCAGAAACAGTTTTTTAGTGAGGTAGGGGCTAGATGAAGCACAAGGATGGCAAGAGCATTACTGTGCTGTACGCACACACCGTTACAGTGGATCCAGCACTTTTGGCACCTCCTGTAACACAGGGCTGGCTGCACAGATGCAGCAGACTCCTGCGCACTTCCAGCGGTCCCAACGCTCCCTTCCTAGTCCTGTGAATGCCAGAGAAGGACCAGGGGCTGTGAAAAACACCAGGTCTACCACCTGTGCACAAGACCCTCATTCTATAATCCTCTGTCCTCAGAAACCACAACACATGATATGCAAGACCTGTCACAGAATACAGAAAAAGTGGAGGGAAGGGAGATTGCTAATATATACCACTCTCACAGGAGTAAGTGGGCCACACAAACAGAAGTTCACATATCAGTGGCCTATCCTAAGCACTTATAGCAGGTACCTGAAGCCCTGAGCGGCCTAAGCTTTTGTTTTAGACAGAGGCATCCACATCATTCAAATTTCAATGTATGTAGATTTCAAGTTCTATTTTGCCCTAAGAATTGAGATAATTTCTAGATTTACAAGAGACTGGAAGCCACTCAGATTGCGTCAATTCAAGTACAGTGCCTTTCTCATTCTTTAAGGAGTTTACCATTGTAAAAGGGGCACAGCAGGAAGCTCTGTTAAAACAAGCTACTAACAAGCTACTAACAAGCTACTAACAAGCTACTAACAAGCTACTAACAAGCTACTAACAAGCTACTAACAAGCTACTAACAAGCTACTAACAAGCATTTTTGTCAGAAAGTACCTACAGCTGTACACAGCTTTAAGCCTTAGCTCATCTCAAGTTTTATTTCATGATTGAAATGAAAATAATGAGGCATTATCTCCTGTCTGATTAACGTAACATCCACTAGCAGGAGTTAAAATCCCAATGAAGGGAGTGAACAACTTGTCATACCTTGCACACTCAGTGCTCACTTCTCTTATCTTCCTCAAAGGAGTTAGAACATGAAACATAAGTGTATCTCCATGAGGCTTCAAACACCAAATGGACACGCACAAAACTGCAATGTGCTTGGAGATAAACTGTGGAAGATGCTGCCGTATCACTACTATAGCACAGTCACTTGAAAAAAGGTTTGTGTTTTCTTCCGCAAGCAAATGGGGAAGGTTTGGTATTCAATATTGAAAGCCTCACATGTACTGGCAGCGTAAGTCCCCTAAATATCCAATATGGAGTAGATGGAACACATTTTATATGCAGATAGGTATATATGAATGCCAAACACAAGCCAATACTTCCAATTGTAGTTACTAGATCTTTCAGGTAGTTTCTTAGTCTTCCTTGGTGACAGTCATCATTCATCTCCTGTATCTGCTACTGTCTGTCCTTTACCCTGGACACATCTACA